CATAGTTTTTGACTCATCTGAAATACTTTCAAGCAGGCCAAAAATGAGCAAACATTTTGTGCGAAAACTTTCGATCCACCCGTTATTAACAGTTCTTTATTTTCATTATCAAAAATCCCATCAACAATATAAACAGCATCATCAGCAAAATGAGTCATTTCATTAGATGAATCAGATGTTCAATAAATTATACGAGCTTTATCAATAATTAATACATAATTCTCTTCTTGAATGAAAACAAATTGAATGTATATGTGGTAATGTAAGATGCCTTTTTGAAAATTGTTTGAAAGATCAATTATTATAATATATAAGATGGTGAAATGAAAACGATCAATATATTTAAAACAATATAAAACTCTTTCAATAAGTGATGAAAAACATAAATAACAAGCATGAGCAAATTGAAAACCTTCATCAATAGGAAAAAAAACCAATCTGCTAATCGATCTATTTAAGCTAATCTATAAAGAGTAATCCAATATTGAAGATTATACTTTAATTCAAATATTGCAAATATTGATGTACACAAAGTGGATTTTTCCAATTGATGAGAATCTAGCATAGTAGCAACGAATTTTTTCTTTTTTCATTCGTATTCAATAACATTCATTTTGTGCTGCTGCATCAAATAAATACCTTACAATGAAAATACAAAAACAGAATTTAGTTTACTTTTCTTGCTCAAAATCATCTATCGGACATCAAATGATTTAATGATGAAACATCTTTGTCAATATTTCACAGTTATACTAAGTTTTTTTTTCGGTCCCATCTTCAGAACGAGAATTAACATCAGACTCATAAATTTCTACATCTAACCAAATCACCTACAGTCTATACTTCTGCTATTTTCATTTTTTGAATTTAATAAAACAAAATCCATGATATTTTTTTTATTCAACGATAGATTTGAGCATTTTTTAAATAGAATTCTAATGCCTGTTTGATATATTATATCTTATTCAAATATACAGGGTGTTTGAAACGTAACTCCCTATTTTAAACTTTTTATTACTCTCAAACAACGAAAGATACCGTTCTGATTTTTTCATCGTTTTGAAGCATGAAACAAGGCATTTTATTCTAGATGAAACAAATCGATTGATCGTTTGAATGTCTAAGATCAAGCTCGAAGTTGGCCTAGAGAATACGTGAAAATGACTTATTATTTTGAATAGTCGATTATTCTTATACGAGAACAGATACTATTTTTTTATTCTTAACTTTTACGTATCGCGTAGTTGTAAAGGAGATACATGATATCTTCTTCTTCGCACTACAACCTTGTAAAGCAGAAAAAACATCATCCGTTGTCCTTATCATTCTTAGTGGCGTAACCAGAAAATCGTGGGTGCGTGGGCGGCGCCCCACTCTCTTACAAAATGACTCTACTATGCTAGGACAACGAAAATGTCTATGTATTTATTTAATATTTTTTCCCATCGGTGTGTGAACAGAGACCTTGTGTGAGGGGCCGCCGCCCACTCATACATCCTTCAGATACGCCACTACAAATATTGTTATAAAAAATTTACTTTTTAAAAATTATCGGTGAGTGGGCTGAGCCCACTCATGCCCTACCTTGGTTACGCCACTAATCATTCTGGCTATTGCTACAATGAGACTTCGGTAACAGATTGAAAATAATGAGTCGTTTTCACGTATTCTTTAGGCCAACTTCGAGCTTGATCTTAGACATTCAAACGATCAATCGATTTGTTTCATCTAGTATAAAATGCCTTTTTTCATGCTTCAAAACAATGAAAAAATCAGAACGATATATTTTGTTGTTTGAGAGTAATAAAGAATTTAAAATAGGGAATTACTTTTCAAACACCCTGTAATACTACATATTATAAAAATGAAGCTCCATAATAAACGTTCTGATAAAAGAAAATGACTTGACGAACAGAACGCTCATGAACAATGAAAACATGTTAGACGGAGTACATAATGCATCAACCATTCATTACAGTCTAATTTTATAATATTCATATTTATCTTGATTTCATTGTTGTCATAAGGCCCAAACAGACTGAAAGAACAAAAAAAAGCCAATCAACACTGAATTAATAAATAAATCGTCTAAAAACTAAGATGGCTTAAGTCGAAATAAAGCAATCATATTGCTTTCTTCGTTTTATTTTTTTTTGTTTGCAGTCTGTTTGGGATCATAGGCGGCAACGATGAATGCATATATAAAATGAAACGAACAAGATAATCGGTGTCAGACAGACATGGACATTCCAAATAACAATAAACTTAATATACTCAATTTACCCAATGAAATATTATTATTCATCTTCAATAAATTGAAGACGATCGATGCTCTCTATTCCCCATGTAAACACCAGACGCAAAATATACGCGTGTAATCGTGGTTTTGTTGTAAACCGCGTTCAGACGCGGTGAAAATCGATTTTCACTGCGCCTGAACGCATTTTCATTTAGAAGCGCGTCTAGACGCAGCTGAAGAAAATTTTCGAACGCATCTCGACGCGATTATAAATGAAAACGCGTTCAGATTCAGACGCGGTTACAATCGATTTTCACCGCGTTTGAACGCGTTTTCATTTACAACCGCGTCTATACGCATCTGAACAAAATCTTCAAACGCATCTTGACGCGAGTATAAATGAAATCGCGTCGGACGCAGTTACAATCGGTTTCTATCCGCGTCTAGACGCGATTTTTTATGAGACTGCATGGAAACGTGTTTAATAAAAAAATATTCAAACGCGACTGGATGCGGTTTGAGTTAGAGCGCGTCAAGACGCGGTCAGATTAAATTCTGAGCCGCAGCTCAACGCGTTTTTTTATGAAACCGCGTTTGTACGCAGGTAATAAAAACTGTCTACATACGTCTGAATGTGACTGTACAGGACACTGCGTCTGTACGCGATTGACCAAAAACTATTTAAAGGAAGACATAAAATTTTATTATCTGCATTCCGGTCACACTTGGCAAGAATAGAAAGAAATGTTTAGTTTCTAGGTTTAGATACTTCATGTATAAGAGAAGGATATTTTTATCGCAACACGAATAAATTTCTTTAGAAACTTCACTTTTTAGTGTATCAAAAAAGTTATACGAGTGACCATTAGTATAATAAGACTATCTCTCTACTCAGCACTATTTCTATCAATCGATAGCCTGTTTTCAAAATAGGTGATAAATATAAACTAGTTTTGCATCAAACCATAGACCAAGAAGTCTGCTCTAAAAGACAAAAGAGAAAATTTATCTTCACTTTTTGATCAAAGAAATCTTTTTGAAATTTAAATTATAAATTATGTACTCAATTTGAACTTTGTTTGAAGGATAAAATATACTTTGTCATAAAATAATTGTACTTCTAGTGTTTAAATGTTGTAAGTGGCGTAGTGTTCAGTTCATTTTAAATCATGTGTGTTATTTTCATTTTATATTGTTACGGAAGTAAGATACACAAGAAAATATTCAAACTCAAATAGAAAATCTAATAGACAAATCACTTTTCTACATTTTCTAGACATATAACATCGTCTCTACATTACCCATCGCGTGCACATAAGAAACAAAATTGCAAACTATACACTTAGTGCTCTACTAGCGTGTATATATTAGCTAAAAACTCAAAGAAGAAGACACTTTAGAAATTAAAAATTATGTTTTTATCTTAACGTGATTTGAAGAAAAGCTTTGCTAAATGCTCTTTTATATAATAAAAAAGGAAAACGAAAAAAGTGAATGATATTTGATAAAATAAAATAACTATATAATCAGTTCTAAAAGATAGACAGCATTTAATATTATAAGTAATAGTCTTTTACAACAAAATAAATGAAAATCATTTGCGAAAGGAAAATTTTTCAAAAATTTTAAAGAAATTTTAATATATGCAATTTATTTTATGCAAGTTTATTTTCATACAAGAATATGAATACTAATAAATGAGATATAATTTTGGCAGAAAACGTTCTATTGATAAATGCATTATGTACCTATAGATATGGAGTCACGATTCATATATACTTTCTGTTTCATTCGACAGTGATTATGATCACATGTGGCTTCATGATACGTATACTTGCTTCTAAATCGCTAGTTCACTTGTTCTAATCTCATTTCTATCGTTTTAGATAAATTAACATTTCGACATTCCGTTCGCCTATAGTGAGGTAAAGATCACCATTAGAGGATATCGATGGCGACTCAGATCAGACCTGAGACGGATTGTAATATTTTTTTTAAATTTTAAATATCAAATCGTACGCGGTCAGACGCGATTCGAAATTACACCGCGTCTAACCGCAATTTGATTTGGAACCGCGTCTCCAGTGAAACATTTCTTGCGTCTAGACGCGGTTGGAGAAAATCGCGTCTAAACGCGGTTCGAAAAAAACGCGTCTAGACTCAAGAATTGTTTCACTGGGGACGTCTTTATTGCGTTTTTCTCTTGTGATCCACACGCAACGAAACGCAACTCAGATGCGTTTTTCTCGAAAAAAAATTTGCATGGGATCATTTTTCATTTTCATTTCTTGACTTAAAATTTTAATTTCGTTTTGAAAATAAGTAATGAATCCAGGAACATTTTTTAAATTTCTAAATAAAAATAAGTTTATTTTTGTTTCTTTTTTTGGAAACAGCATACCCATTATCTGTAATGTGTTCTTTGAGTTCGAGTATGATTTAAAAAGCATTGATATTCGACTAAAAAAAAATGTAAAAAAAAGTAAAGCTACGATGATATGTTAACTATCATAAATACAAAATTGACCAAAAATAAGCTTTTTTCAAGATAAATATCAGATTGAATGGTAAATTCTGCTTTCGTATATGTAATATAAAAATGACCATTCACGAATTTCCAGTCGAGTATTCCAGATGTCTACAAATAAAAATTCGATCAATTTAAGAACTCATAAAGATATTTTTCTTACTGAATGTTCATATTGAACCAAAAAATCTTGTTCAATAATGATATAATGAAAGATTGGAATAATTTTATCATAATCATTTCTATAATGATTTGCATATTTATCAATTATGGTTTCTAAGTATTTGTAATTGTTCATATCGTCTGAAAGAAAAAAACACTTTTATCCCATATATTTTTCAAACTAATATTGATATCAAATCATGCTTTCTAAAAATCACAATGAACAAAAACTTCCTTCAATTAAGATTTAAATCTTGAACCCCCGGATGGCATTTACGTTTTATCACACAAAAGATATTTGTGGATACAGTCGGATCCATATGTAAATGTGTAAGAGGAATCTGATTTTTCTGTGTAATTTTCGCTAGACATTGATGAATCGAAGACATTCATAATAACCTTTTCAAATACAGACACACTGGCACAGATCTTGACGTAAAAACAGTTACTGTTTACAAGACACTTTTAAGAAAGGATTATAATAACATTACGAATTTAAAATATTATTTAAAGAAACTACAGGTCTGATTACACTACACCCTAGTAAATGCTCTCACATATATCAATATATATATGTGGGCGTGGCCAGTCGACATGGTACCCCAACACTTATTTGTTTATTTAGCTTTAACTCGTTATGAGAAAAAGCTGATTTTTTTACCTGTTATAGACCATATATAGTGCTGATGATCTATGACTATTTCAGGTCTATGTTCCAAGAAACAAGAATGATTAAGTATGTCCTAATAGTCATTGTGTAAAATATGCTTCACATCCAATTTGTTAACATTTCGATCTCTGTATATAATTCGTGCACGATAGCATTTCATCTATTCTATCATATCTTGGTGCTTCAGTCACATGGTCTTCATTCTAACTACGATCTTTTTTCTCGTCTTTGTTCGTTCTTCCTTTTCTTTAACATATATTCACTCGTGAACAAGTGTTTACTATCTTTATATCATGGTTTCTCCATAAACTGAATGGATTTGTTCTGAATGTCAATCTGCTACGACTACTCGTAGAAAATATTGTACCAATTGTCATTCTATGTTAACTTGGACATGTGCTGGTTCAGGTAGATCTGGTTTGTACACTCACTATTATCATCATCGTGACAACTGTAATTATTGTACACCAGAACTTGAAGAAGAAAAACAACAAAAAATGGAAGAGAAGCAACAAGAGTTGCAAGCTTTAGATGCTAGTAAGTAACACTAGTCTTCTTAGCCTATACATGTACCTCTCGTCTCGCTCATATTTTAGAACAACGTCCGTGGTCGGAATGGAGTCGTTCTAATGAATCTTGTATACAACATACCGGACATGATATTGAACAAGTACAAGAACTGTATTCTATGTGCGAACAGTCATTAATAAATTATTGCTCTCATAGAAACAAAGAACATACGGACAGTACTATAACACCGTATTTATCTCCTATGAATTTGCTTGCTGTTACGTTATGGTATTTAAAATATTATCATTCTGAACGTTATATTGCTACTGAATTAAACTTGGGTCGTTCGACAGTAAACTATTTATTATCAGAGGTTATCAATATTTTACATTCCTGTGTATATCGAGAATTAATTTCTTTCCCTGCTGATATAGCTAAAAGAAGAACGCCACATGGGCCTGAACAAAATCATAAATTAATAGTTGACTCGACTGTTATTGCAATTCCTGAACCTTATGATTCAGAACAACGAAAAGCATATTATCATGCAAAAAGTCCAACAAATTATGCAATCAAAGTGTAAATAGCTTGTGATTTTCGTCATCGAATAGTACACGTATCTGAGTGTTACCAGGGAAGTGTACATGATATTACAGTTCTTCGAGATTCAGGTTTATTAGAACATGTCGAAGATTCTGTACAAATCATCGATGATAAAGGATATATCGGTGAAGAATATGTAGTCACTCCAAGAAAGAAACCTCATGGACGTGAATTAACGGATGAAGACAAAAATTTCAATCGTGATATTAATAGTGCAAGAGCAGCTATTGAAAATATAAATCAACGTCTCAAAACCTATGCTATTTTGGGTAGCATTTACAGAGGGGCTATTGATGATTTCCATAAAATAACTAAAATCGTGCAAGTTGTTTCTGCTCTATGTAATATGAACTTAAATAAACATCCTATTCGTAAATAAACATCATATTAAGTTGTGTTTTCTGAACAACTAGTTGATAATAAAACTCTATCACTGGTATTGCACGTCGTTTCAGATATCTTAGTAAGGGCTGGTATATGTTAATAAATTGGATGTGAAGCATATTTTACACAATGACTATTAGGACATACTTAATCATTCTTGTTTCTTGGAACATAGACCTGAAATAGTGATAGATCATCAGCACTATATATGGTCTATAACTGGTAAAAAAGTCAGCTTTTTCTCATAACTAGTTAAAGCTAAATAAACAAATAAGTGTTGGGGTATCATGTCGACTGGCCACGCCCATATATATTTGTTCATTTTCTGTAAATGAATTGAGCGTACTTTTAGCGTTAGCGTCGACCTAGAATTCTATAATGTCGATCAATCATATATTTTATCCTATCGTTAGGAAAATTATTCTGTTCTATCTCTATTTCTCTCCATAAGTAATACGATCTTTTCTTCTATTTTTAAGAAAAAATATAAGTCAAATAAAACAATCTTTCATATAAATGTCCCGCTTTCGCATACGTCCTTAACTCATGCATTGCTTCATTGGAAGTGAGCTATGATAATTCATATAGATTTAATTTATTGAACAATACTTCATACCTTGGAAAACAAAAATGAGCTACCAATGACCAAAGTTAACACACATAGCATGATCAAAGTTAACTGCCTGTAGAGAACGAAAGATATTATTAACCAATCAATTATATTGACTAACATTGCGATCCATATTAAGAATTCAGAACCAATAACTTTCTCAATTTTTGAGATGTTACTGTACAAAAATTGAATAACATAGATTTGGTATAAAACATGGCAATAACTTACTCAAATAGTTTAGAATTAAGTTGACTAGTTGGTTTGGTGTCCATATAAAGCATGTTCTAAAAACGAAGATAGAGAGAGATCAAGTATTTATTATTATTAATTATTGTTAGTAAACAGTTAGAGAAAAGTCTTGTCATAATTTTTGATGTGTAGCAAAAGACAGAGCATTGAAAATCAAATAAAACAGTGTAGTTTTTGTTTCCAAACAACCGATCGTAATGGAATTTTTAAGCACTTTTTTACGAATTTAATTATTATTATATTAATAAGTGAGAAAGCTTTGAAAAGGAGTGCATTTTATAAAGTAGGATTTTTCTATCGAACAAGATATGATGGCTTTTCTTACGATGCAATGTTTAAGCGAGACAACATTTCCAATTCGTATCACTAATTTAAGCGAAGATTTCTAGCTATCTTTTTTTCCTTGTTTTGACTGAAATATTTTCAACGAGTTGTATGTTATGAATTGAACATTGCACAGAAATCCGCCAAGTCTCGTTGAATAGACGAGACTATACTTTATAAAACGTACTGTTTTTCAAAGCTTTGAAGATTTGTCTTAAAAGCTCAGTTTTCTCTATTATTAACTTGATATTAATTAAATTCTTAAATAGAATGTATCGAAGCGAATGCGGAGCGTCTAAAGTATGAATGTAGATAGACAAAGGAATTAGGGTCACGCCTACTCTGAACAAACTTTTCTAATGCATTTTCTACGATGAATATTAGTATCCATGTGCTTTTCGAAACAGACATGGGATTTTTCATTGAGTTATTTGTAGCTTGAAGCAAGAGACATGGCATACCAAATAAAGAAAAAAAAACAGATAAAGAAAGGTATCCATATTGATTTATTTTTTGAAATAACCAAAAACAATGCATCAATATTGACTTAAAGTCGCAATTTTTGTTTAAAAAAATATAAATATTTGTTATGTCTGTCTGATTCGGAAATGAGGAGATGATAATGATTACAATGTGGAAAAACTATGATAAGTGTAGGGTCTAGAGCAAAATTCAGTCTGTCCAATTTCCATACCATTCAGGTTCAATTGATAATTGTTAGATCTTATCAGAAGATAAATTCACGAATTGAAACAAATAAGTTTCATAGATTTGTAATTATTCTTTTTCTTGTTTTTCTTCACTGATATAGATCAACATTCGATGAAATAGATTTTAAAGAAATAGTGATATATTCTAAAGGAAGAGATACTTCTGGTTGACATCCAAAAATTTCATCAAATGAAAAAATTAGAATATAATATATGTTAATTAGTAGCAGAACAACACAAAAAACTTGAGACAATTATAAACTATGAAACCTTAAGATAACAAGTGCTGCATTTAATCAATGTAATGACCTTCGCTAATAACTACACATAGCTCGTTGGCAACGTGGGATCGCTAGCGAAGGTCATTAGATTGAATAAATGCAATACTTATTAACCCAAGATTTCATAGTTGCACGAACTTTCCGGACAAGGTAATACCTGTTGCAGCATATTACATATTTGGACTACATTAGAAGAAAACGAATATCTGAAGTAAATATCTATTCTGTATTCTGAGCTAGTTTTTTCACATTGATTTGCTTGGTTTTCCCTTACAGATAGGCATTTCTCTTATCTTCATTCTTAATCATGAATTTTATGCCAAAATAAAAAAAAGCGAGTCAGAGTAAAATATCAAAAAGATTTTGAATCAAAATACACTGTAAGAGACTTGCTAATTTTATGCCTATTTACTATTTAAATCAGAGGATAGTATTCTAGAGATCTCTTTCATTAGTTAGTGATCTAGATGTCGTTAGAATATATATCTATATTCATATAGATATATAAAAAAAAAATAATGTTTGATTTTCTGGGTATTTTTTTTTGTATACTTTTTCATAAAAACAAAATTGATAAAAATATTTTTGAAAATAGCAAATGAACTTAATGTTAGATAATGTTTTTTTAAACATGTTGAATTAACTGACATTCATTGAGTATGTATCTTAATTGAAGTAACGTCGATACGACATATACTAAATATATGTTACGCTTGGTTTCATTACATTTATGTGTTTAGTAAAAGATAAAATAACATGATATATGTAAAATATGTTTCATAAGAAAGATGATGGATTGTTGATAGTCAATGTTTCACGTAATATTTCTTATTAATTTTTCGTTTCGTTTATGATTCTATTTTTTATCTTAAATCATTGCACATTTTTTCAGACGTTGTTTTAATATTGAATCTATTCTCATATGGCAACGAATATAACTAATTTAAATTTAAATACTAATCCTTTAATAAATATTCCATTATCAATTGCAACCGGACTTATTCATAATGATAGTAACTATGTACTATAGATTATTTCGTTTTTCTTTTTCTCCATATAAAAATTCAATTGTCTATATAGATACTCAATGTACTTGGTATTAAATCACATGGTACAATAACATGTAAGTGCTTGTATATATAATTATTTGAAATAATGTTCATATTTTCAATTAGTTCGTCGAAATTGTTCTAATAGAGCTAATTTTATTCGAATATCATCTGATTTTTCTCCTACACGAATCAAAGAATTATTTTTGGGACAACATCATGATAAAGTAAATTTATTTATTTTTATTCGTATTACAATAATAACTCATGTATATTATTAGCGTCCAATACTTGTTATATCGATAACAGGCAATGTAAGAGAATATAATATGAAATCAAAATTATTTCGAATATTACGACAAGGTCTTCTTAAGATAGCTAAAACTACTGGTTAGATTTCATCTTAATTAATTATTTAAAAATATTATTTATTTTTCTCTAGATGTTTGGATTATTACTGATGGAATCACATCGAATATAACAAAACTTCTTGGTGAAATAATTCGAACAAATCCATATCCATCTCGACCTATTTATTTAATGGTAAGTTATTAATAAAGATTTAGTAAATATAATATTTGAAATAAAAATAAAGGGTATCGTATCATGGGGATGTATGTCTGGTGTTGAACAATTTGATGTACATGGTACGAATGTTATTTATTCGAAATCAAAAAATGATGAAAAACCACTTGAACCAAATCATACACATTTTATTTTTATTGATGATGGAACTAAATATAAACATGAAGGAGAAATTGAATTTCGTGCTCAATTTGAAAGAGCAATTACAGAAGAAACACTTTTATTACAAACTACTACACATTATAATCAGAGAAAAGATAAATTAACAAGATCATATTCACATGAAGGTTAATATATCTTAAATACGAAGAATTTATTAACTTTTTTTATTTAGATAGTGTATCTGTTGTGCTTGTTGTCGTTGATAATGGATTGGATACTATCAGAAAAGGTTTAGATATGTATATATATGTCTAATGATACTGATTGTCTATATTTATATTATTTTAGTTTATGAAAGTGTTGTTAAAAATAAAATTCCTGCTGTTCTTATTCAAGGTACAGGTGGATGTTGTGATTTATTTGCTAAATGTTATCATTTGTATGATGAATATCATTCAGAAAGAAAATTATCTGATCAAGCAAAGTTTGTTTAGTTTGTTCTTCTAATTGTTTTATACTTTATTCTTGTGTTGTAGTAACAATACATCATCGTTAGCAACAGAAATAAAGAATAAAATTCGTGAAAAATTACAAACAATTTTGAATAGACTCAATATAGGATCACATATAAATATCTTAGATAAAAATGAACGAATAGATTATTTTGAATTAATCTATGAATGTGTTGAAACACGAAATATATATTTAAATTTTCTTGATCTAAAAATTCATAATCATGTTGATGTTGGTGTTGATTTAGCTATTTTACAAGCTCTTCTTAAAGGTAATCTAACTAGAACATTCATTTAATCTAGTATTAATTGATATGGTAACTAGTTACTTCTGAAAATGATTCATCTGAAAGAAATATAGAACAAAAACGTGAACAATTAAATTTAGCATTTGAATGGAAACGTATTGATATTATGACGAATTTTATTATGAAAGATGAAAAAGATTGGAAGGTAAAGAATTTTGAGAAATTCGTTTTTTTTTTTTGTTTTCAAATGAATTCAATTTTTGTTTAGACAATTGATTTAGATGATTTATTTGAAAAAGCTCTTCTACAAAATCAAATAAATTTTGTTCAATTATTTCTTGATCATGATTTTCCATTAAATGATTTATATGATAATACGAACAAACTTTTAAATCTTTATAAAAACGAAGTATATAATCTTGATATAAAAAAATCAACAAAATAAATGATTATCTGTTTTTTTTTTCTTTATTCTTCTATTTAGAATTATGATTTTAAAGTAGATTTAAATAATCCTTTACGATCAATTTATACCGAAATCATTCAACCATTTATTGGTGACTTTTTTCAAGTTGATGTTATTTTTAGTTCAAATAATTCATCCGAAGATTCTTCTACAGGATCATCATCAAATCATCATCATCATCAACAACAAAGAAATTTACAATCAATAGGTTTGCTGTGTTTCAATAAAATCTTTTTTTTGTTTTTTATTTATTGAATTTCTTAAGATTATTCATTATTAACAATGAATGAAATCGATGTTGATAAAGAACTTTTTCTTTGGTCAGTTTTAACTGGTAAACAAGAATTAGCTTTACTTTTTTGGGCTCGAACAAAGAACAAAGTTTGTAAGTATGGAAAACTTTTTCTCAAAATATTTTAAATAAAAATTTTATCGTCATTAGGTGCTGCTTTAATTGCAATGTTAATTTATAAAAATAAAGCACGAAAAGAAAAAGAAATTATATATAATGAATGGGCAAATATATTTGAAAATTTAGCTGGACAAATTCTTGGTAAATTTTATTCAATACATCCATATGAATGTACACAAGCTATCATTAGACAAATTCCACAATTTGGTAATGTTACTTGGTTACATTTAGCTGTTATGGCTGAAGCAAAATTATTTATTGCACAACGAAGTATACAAGATGTACTTAATGATATATGGTAACTTTATTGAATTTATATTTTATTTTACAAAATTTTATTTTATTCATAGGTATGGATATATTGATCATACAGTTGGAAATGGTTTAATAATATTTTCAAGTTTTATGCTTTGGTATAGTGGATATCTTCCTTATCAAAAACAATTAACTAAAGGAAATGATAAATTTAAGAAAAATGATGTATATCAAAAAATTTTCTATATTTTTTCAATTTATTAAATTACATTTGTTTTACGTAGGATTTTCAAGAGAGATTGAATATTTTTCAGAATAATTCATCACGATCAAACTATAATATTGATGAGTATGCTGTTTTAAATCGATTTATTTTACTTGTACTAAACTCACGAAAAGTTTTTTTCTAGTATTTGTAGAACGTCGGATGGGACATCTTTGAGATTGATGGATGATGTTGCAGATGAAGAAAAAAATTCCATCACTGTTATTAACACTAGCCTTTGGAAAAGGTACAGAAATGTGATCAGCTGTATATGTCGATAATATTATACTTGGGGGTAATCGAAAAGTAGTGGTGGAGGTACTTTAATTCCTTCTAAGGAACTTGCTCTTGCTTTAATCTGAAAACCTGTTTCGTTATTATATGTGCTGATAGTAGCAGATCATAACTGGTAAGATAAATTAAATGCTCATGTTTTATAATTCAATTTTCAATAATTTAATTAATCGTAGCAAAAAAACCGAAATATATCACAAGATGTAACGTGAAACGCTCTACCGTTTACATAAGACCACTTATTTTATAACCCGCGATGCAAAAGTATCTGTACAAATGTCTGAGGCTATTGCGCAGCGAGTGTCTTCTGATAGAGTGAAATGAG